CAGCAGGCAAGCTAGCACTGATGGATGCAGAATGAGCTCTTCGGTTGGTCTTGACCAACACAAATGAACATGATTGTCTGCTGAAGATTCTGCAGAGGATGGAGCCCAGTGAAGACAGGCAGGATGACCATCCAGCAGAGGTCATCGTCTCTCCATGGTTTCTCCTGCAAAGGTCCATCCTACCTTCTGTGTGACCTCCAGGTTCTCAGCTCCTTCCTCCTCAAAACCTTCATTTCTTCTCTACTTGTCTTCCACTCAACCAATCAATCAGAATGGAGTTGGAAGGGAACTTAGTCCAACCCATCCCCTCCCTAATTCTTCTCCTCCTTGTATGTTCTTCCTCCATTATTCCATTCCTCTACTTCATGCCTCCTTAATCTGTCCTAGTTCCCCCACCCTTTTCTTCCCTCTTTTTCTCCTTCCTTCTCTAACCAGGTTTGCGGATCAAATCTCTCTCCAGGGTTTGGATCGTAAGGAAGAAGAACGGCCACAAAAGCCACAGCCATCCCATTGTAAGCCATTTCTGGCTCCAGATTCTCCACGGGAATCCAGGCAGAAGGAAACGGTTCGGGAGAAGAGATGGATCGGAGGTGGAATCTGCGGCCCGATCCCTGAAAAAGCAAGGACGGAATTGGGAAACCAGAAAGGAAAAAAAAAAAAAAAGACTTCAAAAGTGGGAAAAGAAAAGCGTGGATGAGACCGCAAAGGACAAGCAGCTGAAGGAGAAGACACGTTTGCAAAAAGCAACCTCCACGAACCTACTACAGATCCAGCAGCATACAGGCAGGCCTCAACTTACAACAGTTCATTTAGTGACCATTCAAAATTACAACGGCGCTGAAAAAAAAGGTGACATATGACCACTTTTTTACACTTTTGACTGTTGCAACACACACACACACACACACACCATGGTCACGGGGATCACAATTCAGCGGCTTGGCAACTGACTTATATTTATGATGATTACAATGTCCTGGGGTCATGCGATCCTCTTTTGCGACCTTATGACAAGCAAACTCAACGCGGGAAGTCAGATTCGCTTAACAAATGGATTATAAAATATCTATGGAGATTCTGCCTCGTCCAGGTCAGGGTTGTCCCAAAGGTGCTTTTCTGCAGGAGGCAGCGTTTTGCTTTGAAGACATTTTGCTTCTTCTTCCAAGAAGCTTCTTCATCTCTGAGCTGAAGTCCAATTCATCCTTTGGAAAAGGCACCTTTGGGACAACTGTGTTACTATTTTAACACCTGCAGTGGTTCACTTAACAAATGTGGCAGGAGCAGAGGCGTGTCCTGAGCCGGTTCAGACTGGTTCTGGAGAACCGGTAGCGGAAATATTGAGCAGTTCGGAGAACCAGCACATACCACTTCTGACTGGCCCCACCCCCATCTCTTCTCTGCCTCCCAAGTCCCAGCTGATCAGCTGGGTGTTCTTTGGTTGTCCTGCACAGGAGAATGGAGCTGGAAAGCAGGTTAGTGGGGTGGGGAGGGAATGGGGATTTTGCAGTATATCCTTCCCCTGCTATGCCCACCAAGCCTCACCAAGCCACGCCCACAGAACCAGTAGTAAAAAAAAATTGGAATCCCACCACTGGGCAGGAGAGGTTGTAAAATGGGGCAAAATTCACTCGACAAATCTCTTTCTTATCGACAGAAATTTGGGGGTCAATTGTGATCACAAGTCAAGGACTATCTTTGCACATGTCCAGGATAGCCCAAGATTGTTGACTGCGTCAAAAGTTCCAAAAAATTCTTGAGGAAGACTGTGGCAAACCAGCTTTACTGCCAAGAAAGCGACATATATGGTCTCATGAAGTTCCCAGGAGCCAAGTTGGAGAGGGAGAAGGCTTCCTATCTGCTGTCAAATCAGACTTGTTATGCTGTTGACAGACCGCCGTGAACTTTTGAGAGGGGGAGGATGAAGAAGGAGATGCTTGGGGAATGAAAGTAGAGATTGAACCCTGTCGAGATATCGCCTCAAGGTCATCCAGCTGGAATAAGGAGAAAGCCACACACCAAGCCGAGCTTGGACTGAAAATATCTTGCATGGGCTTCATTGGTTCCCGTGGGGTGAGTAGCGAGGGATAGTTGGGTGAGTGAGGAGTTGAACTTGGGGATTCGGGCACGCAATTCTCCGTCCTGGCGACACAAAACTGCAGTACGTTTGATGGAATAAAACTACGACTTTCTCAACAAACGGAGCTAAGGATCATTTCTATTTAGAGATGTAACAACATTTGATGAGTACTTAGCTGGAAGAATGTTAAGAAGTTACAAACAATGATGAGGTCGATCCAAGTTCTTGCTTTAAAAAACAACAACATAGACATCCAGGAGTGGGATGCTACCGGTTCTGCCTTGGCTCTATAGAACCGGTAGCTCTGAAGAGCAGCAGACACCGAACTGGTTCTGTGTTTGCTGCTGTTTGGCCCACCCGCCCGCCCGGGCTCTTACCTGTCCTTTATTTCCCGCTTTTTCAACCTCAGCTGCTTTGCACGGCACAGCTGAGGTTGCAAAAGCAGGAAAAAAGAGGCTTTTCAAACGCTGTGCACCCGCGTGCAGCACTTTTCAGCTGTCCGGGCAGCACAGCTCAATGATGTTTTACACGCACACGCAAAATGTAACTGGTAGTTACACCGGTTGAATCCCACCCTGGTAGACATCTCCGTCAAATCGCCAGCAATCGTACCCCATTGGAGTCCTGATGGTTTAGCGCAGGGGTGTCAAACTCAAGGCCTGGGGTGACAAATCCGGCCTGCGTGGTGCTTCAATCAGGCCTGTGGCCCTCCCGCGCTCCGTTTTTGCTGGCAGACGGTTGCGGGAGGCCGTCGCAGCTGAAAACGGAGCTTGGGAGCCTGTTTTCGCTGGCAGAGTGCTCAGCCCACCACACGAGTGACGTCATGCTGGCTATGCCACCCCCTCTGGCCACACAACCCACGCCCCCTCCAAGGTCAAACACAACCCTGATGCCGCCCTCAATGAAACCGAATTTGACACCCCTGGAACTTCAGCCCGTTTGCAACCTAAGTCTGAAGGCGTTGCTTTTTTCCAGCATTCTCTCCTAAAATTGGAGGCCACAGCCCTAACCCCTCCAAAAATAACAGCGAAGGACAGCCATTACGAGCCAGCTGAATTATATTGGCTCCTCTTTTTTTCTTTCTTTTTAATGCATTTAAAAATAAAAATTAACGCACGCCACGGCCCTGCTCAGTTTGGCAGGGAGGACACAGGCTCCATTCAAAAAGGTCTTGAATGAGGCTGTGTAACTCAGTCGTACTTCAAATGGTATGCGTGTATGTTTTTGAAGCATTCCTTATCTTGGATTTCGGGGGAAAGGAAAAAAAAAGTGGAGGGAAACCTGTAGTTTGAGGGTTTTTTTTTAAAGCACCCAGAGTTGCTGCTCACGTAAACGGCGCTTTCCATGATCTAGATTAGATTTCTAAAGAGCTGCATTCAGATCTAAATTCAATGCTTACTTTATGGGGACTTCAGGGTTATCGGATTACAAGGCGAGAAGGCAGCGTTAAGCCAGGGATGCCAAGGTATCCCGTTGGGAAAAAAAAAACTCTGTTTTTGCAAGCTGTAGAGTTTGGGAATCCCTAGCGCCCCCCGCATCATGGAGTGAGCTCCCGTTCCTTGTCCCAGCTTCTGCCAACCTAGTAGTTCGAAAGCATGTAAAAAATGCAAGTAGAAAAATAGGGACCCCTTTGGTAGGAAGGGAACACTGTTCCATGCGCCTGCGGTGTTTAGTCATGCCGGCCACATGACCACGGAGACTTCCTCGGACAGCGCTGGCTCTTCGGCTTTGTAACGGAGATGAACACCGCCCCGTAGAGCTGGGAACGACCAGCACGGATGTGCGAGGGGAACTTTAGAGTTTGGGAAAATTTAGTGTAACCTTAAAAGATAGGTCAGGGGTCGGTGAATTCTTTGGCTCATCAGCCCCCTTTGTGAAGTTTTAGACTGTTCATGGACCCCCAAATATTTATTATATGAAAATAATTTAATAAATACTTTAACTATTGGCACTAGTACTAATACTGACCAGTCAAAGCCACTGGCTGACCATCTGTCTTTAGGTAATACCGTCTCCTTGCCAGCCTTCAAAATTAGGGATTGGTGTGAAGCTCTAAAGAGACCCCAAAAGATTAATTGAACCCCAATCAACTAAGCTTCCATCATTTATCAATTGCTTATTGACCCCTTGACATTTATGAACCCCTTTTGACCTTGGAATACTTATCAACCCCTTGGAAACATCAACCCTTACAGTTGATGCTGCCCACTTTGGAGAACCCTGGTTTAGATCAGTAGATCAATCCCAAATAAAAAAACGTCTGAGGAAACCAACCAATAGAGATCAGTTGAATTTTAAAAATAAAACTCAATAGGAAGAGCGGGAGAGGATAAATCTACCTTCCGGCATTTGGGCTCAGTCTACGAATAACTTCTCTTGTAAAGTAGGCTGATGTGAGTTGTATTTCATACAACCTCTGTCTTACCGGCAAAGATTGCCTCAGAGTTCATGTTCAACCTGACCCTAGGGATTGAAAACAAGTCTTTCTAGCATGATCTCCCTTTGCAAAGCTTACAAAAGCCCCAGAGACATGAGTAGAGTAGAGAGTAGAGAGTAGAGAGTAGAGAGTAGAGTAGAGTAGAGTAGAGTAGAGAGTAGAGTGTAGAGTGTAGAGTGTAGAGTGTAGAGTGTAGAGAGTAGAGTAGAGTAGAGAGTGGAGAGAGGAGAGGAGAGGAGAGTAGAGTAGAGTAGAGTAGAGTAGAGTAGAGTAGAGTAGAGTAGAGTAGAGGAATGGAATGGAATAAAATAGAAAATGGAAGAGAAGATGGAAGAGAACAGAATGGGAGGGGAGAAGAGAATATTCTTTATTGGCCAAGTGTCATTGGTCACACAAGGAATTTGTCTAACACAGCATGGCATCTCCACCACGGTCAATGTGAGTCCAACAAGACAGAAGAAACATCAAACAACTTTTCATACTTACTCGGACCCCTGGGATTCCAGGAACGCCAGGAGGGCCTTCTTTCCCTTGGTCCCCACTTTGCCCTTTGTCTCCATGTTCCCCGTCTGGGCCTGGTTGTCCTTTGTCACCCTGAAAGAGACAAATGGGTAACCCACTTTTTCCATTTGTTCGGGAAGAAGGATGACAGCCGCTGCTTTTCTCGTCCTCTGAAATTCACCACGTTCTCCTTTACACGCGCGTAGAAACATAAGAAGGATTGAAATGGCCAGAACATCTCTACCAATAAAAATAAAATCAAAGAAGATCTGACCGCTGGATCTACAGGCTCAGCAAAATGGGATGTAAAAAAACTTCCTGCATGTTTTACTTTTAAAAAGGTACACATTGTTAGATCTCTGCTCTCCTTGAGACGCCGAGTTTTTGTTTTTTTTTTACCTGTGAGGACCTTCACCAGATTAAATCCACCTGAAGTGAAGGAAGGAAAAAAAAAAGAAAGCAAAAATAGAGAGTTCTCTTAAAAAGGGATTCTTCTTGGTCTAATCCTGAGTGTTCTTCTTACAGCAGAATAGCAAAAGCTACAGCCCTTAAACTTATACGCCATTTCACAGTGCTTTGCAGCCCTCTCTAAGCGATTTACAGAGCCAGCATATCGCCCCCAACAATCTGGGTCCTCATTTGACTGACCTCGGAAGGATGGAAGGCTGAGTCAACCTTGAGCTGCCGGGATCGAACTGCTGGCAGTCGGCAGAGTTAGCCTGCCATGCTGCATTCTAACCATTTCAACCCACCCCCCCTCTATACTTGGCTGAAATGACATTACAAGAGGATTTTTTTAAAAAAAAAAATATTGAGCAGAATGTTGTTTTCCTCTGGAATGGAAAAACTGAGTTCTTGTAATCTCAAGAATCTATCGAAAAAGGAAACAGAGTTTGTAGAGGGAACTCTTCTAAGGAGAAAATGTGGTTTCTCAGATTCATCCTACAAGAGAAGACCTTGGAGAAGTGAGATTCAGAGAAACAGAACCAGGTTCTAAACAAATCAGAAGAAGGGAAGAAAAGCAAGATACCTTGAGTCCATCTGGTCCCTCTAAGCCACTGTCTCCTTCAAGACCAGGTTCTCCCTTGTAAGAAACATGGAAAGATCATTAGAACTTCTGCGCCGGTCAGATAGTTTCTTCTACCTTCCCAGAATTGCTGTACACTCAAAATTGGTTTCCTTTGAATGAGCTGTATTTATTTCAGAGTCTAATGATGGCATTGGAAGGTGCCATCCTTTATAACAAGACTTGATCTCGCATCTTGATGTCCCTCACCGTTGGCGAGAACTTCAAATTCACCATTAGCAAATCCCAACCTTTCATTTGGAACCTACTTGTGCTCAAAATTAACCTCCCTTCAAGTCCAGGAAAAAAAAAAATCCTAACATTTCTTGGCCTGCAAACCGAATTTGGCAGAAGCAAGGAGCTTACTTCAGAACAAGTAAAAGAGAATCTACATAGCTCAGGGTTGAACTGTGGAGTCCTTGATGATCTCTGAGCTTGGTGGCTTCCTTGCAGACGTTTCATTATCCAAGTAGGTAACATCCTCCTCCCTGGGAACAAACCCCACACTCACTAACAACGATGACGTTACCTAGTTGGGTCATGAAACATTTGCAAACAAACCACCAAGCTTAGAGAGCATCGAGGACCCCACGGTTATTTCAGAACTATCCATATATTTTATTGGGACAATAAATGTCAACATATCCATGTAGCTAGAGGAAGAGGGACATGGATAGAATAGCATATAAAAGAATAGAATTGGAAGGGACCTTGGAGGTCTTCTAGTCCAACCCCCTGCTCAGGCAGGAAACCCTATACCATTTCATACAAATGGCTGTTCAATCTCTTCTTTAAAAACTCCAGTGATGAAGCTCCCGCAACTTCTGGAGGCAAGCAGTTCCACTGGTTAATTATTCCAACTGTCAGGAAATTTCTCCTTAGTTCTAAGTTTGCTTCTCTCCTTGGTTAGTTTCCACCCACTGCTTCTTCTCCTGCCCTCTGGTGCTTTGGAGAATAGCTTGACTCCCTCTTCTTTGGGGCAACCCCTGAGATGTTGGAAGGCTGCTATCATAGGATAGTTTTCTGCTTACCCGTTGACCAACCAGTCCTTGTTCTCCAGGAATCCCCAGTGGACCAAGATCACCCTAGAAGAAAAGAGATTTTTGAAGTTAGCTTTCAAGACATGTTAAGAAGAGGGAGGAACATGTATGAAGACATGACCATTGGCAATTGCCAAGAAGGATATCAGAAAGTCAGTTTTGAGGCATAAGAAATGGGGCTTATAATACAAGGGGTATAGAATCCATAAGACAATGTTCCAGACTATAATGTCAAGGATGCAAGGGATAGTCCAAAAAGGCAAATGAAAGTTTGCCCAAGCATCACACACCAACTTCCACCCAAGTCAAATCATACCATCCTTGTTCCTGGATCTTCAGTCTGAAAAGTCCTCACTTCTTCTACTTACGCTAAGAAAGAAGCTAAACCTCACAATCCCAGGTGAAAAAAAGCAAAGATGCAACTGCCCGTATCGCAACAAATAAGTCCTGAAGACTGGTTTGGAGGGTGCAATAAGACCAAAATCATTTATCAGTTCAATGCAGAAATAAATGAAGGCAATTAATTGGGTGTACAGTCATTCCGGGAAGGTAGACGGAATCATCTGACTAAAAATTTATGGAGATTCTTCCATGATTCTCAATTTATGGAGAATCATCCAGGTCAAGTTATTCCAAAGGGGCTTTTTCAAGAAGCAACTGGACTTTCTGGTTTTCCTTTGAAGACGTTTTGCTTCCCATCCAAGAAGCTTCTTCAGCTCTGACTGGATTCTGACCTTCCATTCCCCACCATCCAATCAGAGCTGAAGAAGCTTCTTGAATGAGAAGTGAAATGTCTTTTTTTTAAAAAAAACTACAAAGTCCAGTTGCCTCTTGAAAAAAGCACCTTTGGGACATCTGGCTAAAAGAGAAGTTGTGAACATTGTAGAAGATGTAGAAAATGGATTGTTGGCTTCAAATGCTGCCTTTTAAAGAAGACAGAACTCCAAAATGCAGTTCCTTGAAGGAGCAGCTTGTACCACTAATCCTAACCGTGAGCAAACACAGTTTTTAGAAGAAAGACTGAAGACTTCTGCTACAGATGGGAAAAAAAAAATTGCTTCCTGTTTGAAACACGAACTTTCTCACCAGGATTCCGTCTGTTGGTGGAGGTGGAAGGCCAGGCAAATAAAAGGTTTTTTATTCCTGAGATGGTAAAAAGAGGAGGTGGATAAACATCACGCAGGACCAAGAGAGATGAAAGAGAGAGAGAGAGAGAGAAAGAGACCCTCAGAAAGTTTGAAGACACAGTAGCTCCAGCAATGTCTTGGAAGGCTTTCCAAAGCAAACAGACCAGCTGGAGGAGAAAAGCACAGGAAGTCAGAAGGAAGCGGAATTTTTATTGCATGGAATGGAATGGAATGGAATCTCACAAATGAACTGCAAGGTGTGATCTCTTTCTTCCTTCCCCTGCATCTCTGCCTTGCATCCACCCACCCACCCACCTATCCATCCTCCCGACCTTCATTTCTCCCTCCGTCTCTTCCTTCCCTCATTCCTTCCTTTCCATCTATGATTTATAGATGAGCCATGGTGGCGCAGTGGTTAGAGTGCAGTATTGCAGGCTCCTTCTGCTGACTGCCGGCTGACTGCAATTTGGCAGTTCGAATCTCACCAGACTCAAGGTTGACTCAGCCTTCCATCCTTTCCAAGGTCAGTAAAATGACGACCCAGATTGTTGAGGGCAAGAGGCTGACTCTGTAAACTGCTTAAAGGGGGCTGTAAAGCATTGTAAAGCAGTATATAAATAAGACTAGGTGCTATTGCTATTGGTCTGCCTGCCTGCCTGCCTGCCTCTCTCTCTCTCTGCCTGCCTATCATCCGTCTATCTATCTATCTATCTATCTATCTATCTATCTATCTATCTATCTATCAGCCATGGTGGCGCAGTGGTTAGAGTACAGTACTGTAGGCTACTTCTGCTGCCTGTTGCCTGTCTGCAATTTGGCAGATCGAATCCCACCAGGCTCAAGGTTGGGCCTTCCATCCTTCCGGGGTGCGTAAAATGAGGACTCAGATTGTTTGGGGTAAAAGGCCGACGCTGTAAACCTCTTAGAGAGGGCTGTAAAGCACTGTGAAGTGGTATATAAGTGCAAGTGCTATTGCTGTATATCAAAAAAGGATCCAATTCCAGGATCAGATCTTGGCTCATAAACGAAGCTGAAACCGCTTCCTCTGCCTTCATACCGCCATGACCTTGGTCATCAACCACAACCTATCCAGTGTCAGCTGGCATAACCGAGGCAAGAGTCTTGGTCATCTAAAGAGAAGGGAAGTTCTCTCTCCTTTACCTTCATGCCAGGTTCTCCCGGAAGTCCTCGCTGTCCTGCTTCACCAGGAGGTCCCTGAAGGAGGAGGGGGAAAAGATAAATACAGAAGAATACCCAACCCAGAACATATTAGAAAGGAGCAATGAGGTTGCTTCTTTTTGTACCCAGAGAAAAAGAGATGGATAGCAAATCATTCATTTCCAAAATAACAAAACTGTCAAGTCTTCTGTTCTTGATATCAACCATCTTGTGCCCTTGTTAGGAATATGAGTCACCTAACAGCTATTTGGGTTAGAAATATATAAACCAGGATAAACATTTTAAAACTGTATCTTTAAGAAAATGCAAAACTGTAGTTGGGTGTGGTTTCTCAAACGGCCATAAGATGGAGCCAGAAACCTGGGTTGTTTTAGTCTTAATCTCAGAAGAGAGTGTGTCTCCGTCTCTGTTTCCTTCTGTTGGAAAGTATTGCCGTTCCTCCATTTCTTCTAATTGACTGATATTACTGGATTTAATGTAAGTCTGATACTGAACTGTTTTTTTCACACTGGACTTTGATATTTGGATTATCCCTGGATTGAAAAACTGACTGATTTACCTGTGAATGACTTTTGGACTGCTTATCTTGAACTTTGCTTAAACTGTCTGGAAGTAAAAACCTACATTTACTGTACAGTGTATCTGTGTACTGTGTGTGTATTATTCAAACACTTATCTCAAATACGTCTCCCTGTATGCGCTCATTCTCCTAATGGGGAATTACCTCAACAGCTCTCCCCCATGACTTTCTAACACAGGGTGCATCTCCTTCAGTTCCGTTTTTGGGGGATTCCCAAAAGCTGGGTGGATTCCAGGAAATTCCAGGAAACGGTAGGAAAATGAGAAGGTGGTGGAAATCATATCCTTACCTTATGTCCAATTTCTCCCAAAATTCCTGGTGGGCCTGGCGAGCCTTGGGGTCCCTGAAAAGACAGGCACCCAAAGTTAAGAACATACAAAGCCTTCTGCTGAAGCAGACCAGAATCTTAAATGTACGTGATGGATGAGTTGGTGGAAATGGCCTGGAGATTCAATATAACACAGAATCATTTCTGACTTCCGCCTCCAAAGTTTTCAATCAAATGGCCAATTTCTGTTGATCGTAAGGAAACTGCATTTCCTTCATTGTTTTTCATCAAATTAAATCAAATGTAGGTGCTGGGTTCAAGAGAAGACCTCATTTTGGCCAAAATGTTAAGGGAATCTTCTGGCATCTTCAGAGAAGACCTCATGTTGGCCAAAATGTTAAGGGAATCTTCTGGCATCTTCAGAGAAGACCTCATGTTGGCCAAAATGTTAAGG